GCGGTTGATCTCTGCTCTGCTTTAAACGATGATTCATAGATGGCGTGACAAACATAGATAGAGATAGATACAAGTTACAGTCGGGTGAGTTCTAAAAAGCTATCAAGATTAATTTGCACCCAGCATGTCTTATCTATCGTCAAACGTAACTTAATCAACGTTATTAATTAATTGAAAAATGGTTTGTAAACAAAACATAATCCAAGTCACAGCAGCGCACCTAGTTAGAATTGTTAAAACAAAATGTATATTCAGAATCAGAGTGTTTAAGATCACTTAATCTAAATATGTCAAATGATTGTAACAAAATAATGAAGTGAAATTAAAATCTTAGTAAATGTATTTTCCCATTCCGCTTACCTTAAAAACCAAATCTGCAACTAAACTTGCATTCATTATGTTTTTCCAAAAATTAATTATTAATTAATTAAAATTATTAATAATTATTAAATTATTAGGGGACTGGTAACTTTTCACTGATGGTGATGTCTGGTTCGCGACGTTCCAATAACGACAGGTAGCAGAATAACAATTGTAATTATTTTACCGTTTTTTTTTTATCGTTTTTCAGTTTAAATCGCGCCTCATTTTCACATGCAAGATAACCTGGACTCGTAATCAATAAAACGCGTCTTATCGAAAACAACGCGGTATTAACCTCTTTTCGTACCCACCTTGATAAGTTTTCGACTGTTGAGCTAACAGAAACCGAATAATATAGCTTATCTATAGCTGCGGAAAAGTTTCCGAGCGCGTTGTGACATTTTCGGTAAAGTGGGCGAAATTTAAAGCCATGCTATTGACGGAGTGCGCCCTAGAAGACGACGATCCTCTGTTTTCCAAACTTAAACGCAGGCTAACGCTTGAGGACTTGATGATTAAGGTAAAACAAACATACATGTCGCCGATACTGATTCCACATTAGCCAAACCCAGACGCGCACTTGTTTCTTTTTTATTAACTAGATTAAATGGAGCAAATTTATTGAGTAATTTGATAACAATGGTGGAAAATGTGGCATTTTGTTTGATCAAAATAAAAAATTATAATAAAAGTAATGTTCCCTGTTCCGTGCAGACAATTAATAACTAACTGTGTGCGATGCAAGTCGTTTGATAAAGTGGAGAATCCATCTTATCTTTTATTTGCTGATTATAAAATTTAAAAATAAACAAACGGATGCTTCACTTCCGAAAAAGAGAGTTCGCTTTTTATATATACAATGTCCGTCAAAATGTTGGATATAAATTTGAAATTTTAAAAATTGTGCCCAGAATCTGGGAGTTATTTTAGACAACAAACTTAGATTCAAAGGACACTTAAAAAATATTTCAAAAATCCTTTGCCGCCATGAACAACTGAAACGAAGTCAGTGTGAATCCCTGGTCCTCTCTAATTTCAATTATTGTGAGTTTGTCTAGTAAGTAAAAAGTGTGTTCAGATGGTACAGAATGCATGTATTAGGCTTGTCTATGGTGTGAGGAAATTTGATCATGTATCACACTTATCTTCTTCTCTTTCCTTCTCCCAACGGAGGTTGAATATTATCATAGCTCTCCTAATCTTGTTAACAGCTGCTCTAAATAGTTGGTTTGATATAATTCCAAAGCATCCCTTTAAGTTTTTGAGCCAAGAGGTTCTTCTTCTTCCTTGACTCCTTCTGCCCTTCCAAAATGTTATAAAACCAATTAATTCTCCTCCAATGTTACAACCTAAAAGTTAGTATAACGTATTTACTTTGTTGTTTATGTAACTTATTTCAACAGGTATAATTATAGTAATATTACTAGATATATTTTTTAGGATTAACATAGTCTTGTTAATCTATTGTCTGTTTCGTTCAGTTGAGTAGCCAAAGGCTAGACTTGCCCGAAACTTGGAAAGGTAAATGAAATTATTTCTTTGTAATAACCTTGTCATATAATATTGTTCAAATAAAGTAATAATTATTATTGATACCAATTGAAGTTTTTGAAGAAAGCGAAATTGGGAGATGCTGGTTTTCAAATAAAATTAATATTAAGTAACTTATTAAATTAATTAAATTAAAATTAAATAACTTCATAAAGTGTAATATTTAATCTTTTTCACAAAAGTGAAGCGTGGATGAGGATAACAACGTGATATGTCTGACGCATCAAGACAGTCCCATCGCTTGCTAGATGTCTCAATTTCTACTTACAGAAGATGCAACCATATAGATACTAAAGCTACAGAGGATCTGCCTATGCCAATAATACAGGAACTTATAAAGCAACAATGAAAAAATTCTTTGAGAAGGTTAATGAGATTAGATGCTTAAATCTCGTTAAACGTTATGGGTAAACGATTTAAGTGTGCGGAACTCGTTGTTTAGAAAGAAAATGGCGCACACAGCAGGTTAGTGCGTGAAATGTAGAGGCTTTTCAAATATGATATAAAAACATCAATATCGTTATATTACATGGTGCATGCCTCGTAGTAAAATTTGGTACATCAAACTGCCCATTTGGTTTTTAAGCAAAATCGCAGGAAACTTCATAATTATTAATATTAATTTTTATGTTAAAATCTTGTCTTGCTATCTAATAACATTTATTTATTGCAATTATAATAATAGCTTTAGGGTTACCAGCTTTCAAGGTGAGCCCCATCAAGATACTTTTACGGATTAAGAAAGCCTATAAGCGACTTCATTAATTTGAAATTGCCGACTACTATATCTAAGATTACGATTCTAGGAATTAAAAACCCAAAATAATTAAGAATAATTGACTATCGGGATTGCAGATTTCAGCTGTATTAAAGTTTTACGTTCAAACTCACTAACTTAAAAATGGAAATTAATTAATATATATCGCCAATAAGGAAACTGCGTGCTATAAAATAAATTAGCGGATGTGTGTGTGTGTGTGTGTGTGTGTGTGGTACTTCTACCACTCTTGTGTGTTAATTGTAAAAACGTTCGGTCTGCCGGAACGGTAAAAAGTAAATTAACTCATTTTTACGCTCCAGTACGGGCGTCAAGAAACTGTTCTGTACTGACAGTGCTGTCGTTATGGGTCTCGCCGCGTACAACGTCGATTAACATCAAACTTCGTTGTGCTATTGTTTTTCGACAATAGAAGTGAACCGAATGAAAGGAAATGAACATTTTGAAATCGTCGAATAAGTACAATATCGAATTGCTGTGCCTCGTTCCAGCTGACATAGTTTGTATTCTCTGGTAACTGTGTGTCGGTTTGAATAGGTATACGGTGGTATACCCCATATATTCACATTGTTCGACGGTTTGTGTTTTTCGGTGGAATCACGTTATTGGTGGTTAAGTGAAAACTCTAGCCGCAGCAGTGCAAATTTTTTATTGACTCCGCGTAAATTTCTAAACAAAGATTCGAGACTACTTTTACAATCGCGCGACAGAATAATGTGATAACCGCCACGACTGCATTCGAAGAGATAAATAAATTAATTATGCGCAACTGCTTTTAATATCTGCAAGACAGTAATCTTGGTGGTGAGTCGGTGTTTGCCGTTATAAATGCGCTGATTGCGGGACATATGGCGTCATTAAAGCGTAAACGACATTACAAAAAGGATACCTCGTTTTTGCACGATTTGTACACTCTGACGTTCGATGAAAACGAAACATTGGAAAGTTTAGACGAAACGGTGAGTACCGCTGCTCACCTACATAGTTTCGATTTCGTTTCAAAATATCAAACCTCCGCTGAAGATGTCAATTCAACTTGCGGTACCAACTTAACTTAAATGTAGTTTTAACGTTTAGAATTTTAAACCTTGCATAAAAGAAATTGATTTCTTATGACGAATTACTTGGGTATTTCCTACTTAACTTACTAAAACTGTTAAGGAAATCAATCAAGCGAAATTGTTAGAAATATTTTTCGTTCCCTATAGTTCCCTATTCGATCGCGTAAAAAGTCCATATTTCTAAAAAATTGTGCAATATAGATAAAATGTTAATATAAGCGCATGCCGTTATATTAATTTGTTTATGCCTACACACATACTATACCTCCGCATGGAATCTTCAATAACATTCAAACAAGAAACGAAAGTTTAGTTTGACGCTTCTAACTTTAGGTACAACCACACGCAGCTCTTGAAGACAATATATTTTTTTTATTTCGTTTTTTATTTATTGCACGCACATACTACGCTCCTTTTAACTTCATGTATGAAGTTTGTTGATTATATGCAATTTAAGATATCTAATTAAGACTTTAAAATATTAACTGTTGCGGGACGGCGGAAGCACCTACAGTGGAAACACACCTTAACGCCAATGACCACCTGGCCGATGGACCACGGAACTAGGCATGCGTGACAGACTTGGACAGGTGCATTCTGCTATCTCTTTCCGATACGCGAGTGCGCCATTTACTTTTCTTTTTTATAAACCGAAAAACGCACATTATCTTCCACCGGCATCGTGAAACGAAAACAAGAGAGTAGTTGACCATGTGCCAAAGCAAAATATCGTCGAACGTTGAGTACAAAGTTGATTGAGACTTTTTGACCCGTCCGTTGTGATACGCAAAAAATTCGTCGATAGCCGCCTATTGTGATTTATATTTTGGAAATGTTGGATAATTTGGTCGCTGCCATAAAGAATCGTACAAATAATTTCTCGGATAATATAAAATCGAAGACGCGGCGTATTACAAATAGTTTAAGTGTTTTTAAAAGCGCATTCTCTCCAAAATCAAAGACTACTTACTATACAATAAGTCAAAAAGAGGATGATTGTTACGACAATGAATATTTATCTCCAAGAGCTTATTCAATGACCACGTTTAGTATAGATTATAACGCAGTTAATGAAAACATGGAGTGGTTTCCTTATCTGCCCCCTTCCTATGACGAACAGAATGTTATTGATAGGTTTATTAGGGTTATAACAATCGACAATGAACGTAGCCCAGAAGTAAGAAAGTTTATCACCATTAATAAAATTTATAACGTCGTTAATTTTATATTATTCCTTCCCCTTACAGAGACGAACTGATAGAGAAGAGATTAGACGAAGACTGGCGATGGGTCCAGAGGATGAGTATTACATGGATCGACCCTCCAGGAAGCCTAGTTTGCAAGCTCGTTTACAAAGTGGTAAGCTACCTAATTCAGTACTATCATTTTTTTCTCAAATTTATTTTCCAGGTATGAATCTTCAAATTTGTTTCATGAATGAAACGGTTCTGGACAATGATAGTCCCAGCTCTGACTCTGAATGTCCTATGACAAACCCCAAACAGCCTAAAACCTCTCTCGTTAGCCAAGCCTCACCAAATGCAAATGGTTTTGAAGCATCTCTCCCTCAACGGCCTGCTACATTATCCTTGCAACCACAGCCGTCGATGGCTACCCTGCAATTAGGGGGCGCAGCATCTGAGACTGACTTCTTTACGAAGCAAGCGCGATTGCAGACTGAAGCGCGAATGGCATTGGCACAAGCGAAAGAAATGGCGAGGATGCAAATGGAGGCAATTAGCAAAATCTGAATCTAGCGTCTGCGTTTCTACTCGATTTATAATTTTTTTACAGATAGAACGACAGAGGCAGAAAAAAAGTCCAATTACGGAAATGGTCAGACACAGTTTGGAAAAAGTGGGGATACCTTTCCCGGAGGAAAAGAGGAGACTTTCCAGGCAACTTTTGACTGAAATGAACGTTGCTCAACTACAAGTGATCGTTAATGATCTGCACACTCAAATAGAAATCCTCAATGAGCAGCTTGTAAAGTTTCTCATGGACCGTGACGATCTCCATATGGAACAAGACTCCATGCTCGTCGATATCGAGGATCTTACGAGATATTTGTAAGTTTGCATTTGCCTAGAAACACAATACCATTTTGTTTAAGTTAAGTATGCAAAGATATTTTTTTGTTTTAGGGGCGCTAAAGAGCAAGTCCTCAAGGAGCAGTGTATTTCGACGCCTCAGAATAACAATTTGCCGCCTCCATCACCCGCCCCTTCTTCACCTCTGGCAACCATTAATAGTACTGTTAAACCACACTTGCACCGGATAGCCAGCTTAGTAAAAAAGTAGCCTAAAGGACGTCACATCTGCCCGTCCTTCTGTATATAGTTGGTTGATGGACTGTGTGAGTTTAAAACAGATATGCCTCCATTTTGTAATTTGCAGGTTGTTATAGTCCTACTGAAACTTGCGACAATATCAAATTCGGTGGGTAAATTGCCATTCATTTGATTCATTATCTATTCGGGCTTAAAACTTTTTTTTTATTATTCTTTTAAAAAGGTTTGCAAGCATATTAACTATTAATAAATTATATTTAAATTTTATGTTTAGTTTGTTTCATATGTATCATTCTGAAGTCGTTGACTATATCTATGAATCATGTTCTAGCTTTTCCAGTGACCAGCGTGATGGTAAATTTTGAAACGGCGCAAGGCCTAATGGTGTTGATTATTCCTTCAAGCTTAGGATCCTTGTAATAAATTTATGCAAAAATTCCATTGTTATTACCTTAGCATTAGGTCAGTCGTAGGCTATGCTAGCAAGTTCCTTTAGTGATATTATTTATTTTTGTATATTACCTTAAATGTAATATCGTATCAATTAGCCTGAAAAGTGTTTACACGGTGTGTGTGTAGCGCTAATAGAGTTTTGGGAGATCTCAATAACTAGCAATTTATTTTAAGTTTATATTACCTAAGATATGCGATTAAAGCAAGTACAAAGTTACCAATAACTTACTTTTTTAAACATATTAAAATCTGCAAAGGCCAAAAGATTAATTTAAAAACTAAAGTGGTATGGTTGATCTGGTCTTATTTCAAACCCCCCCAAAAACTCTAATGTAATTATTAAAAACGTAATAATTAGAATTATCGTAGATAGATCATGTGTAGAATTGATACAAGTCATATGTATTTGCAAGTGTTAAAAAAAACAAAATAATTGCAAGAATAGATGTTACAAAACAAAGATAATCGCTCAAAAAAGGATAACTCATAGGTGAAGAACGAAAAGCTGTAGCCAAATGGGTGTTGATAAAAAAAATAAAAACATATATGTATAAAATTGTGGCATTATGTGACGCTCAACAGCGTCATCGTCTAAGCCACATTAAATTCGAATCATTCTCTAATGCATAAGAAGGTGTCGAACAAAATATTTCACCAAAAATATCTGATTTTTTGATTAGTGGCTAAAAATTAAGTTTTTATATGAATATTCAAAACCGATGCGAATACAATCACATTATGTAATTGTATCCGATTTATGATAATGGGGCTTTTGATTCTGACGTATGTTTTTTGTATTATATTTTGAAAACTTAAAAGACTGTACCACCCAAAGAATACGTTATAAAACCGGAGATGAAATGATCTGTATCACCTTTTGATATTATAGGAAGAGCGTTTGTTGAGCGATATGCGACTAGTAAATGTTACTGTAATTAAGATTCGTTGTGAATACAAATGCTTAAATAAATCATTCCACAAATACATTGCATTTTTTTCATACTTGTTTCATTGGAACCCTTTCTGTCAATAACTTACCTTAAATTGCACAAGGCAAAAAAAGTAGTTAACTCAAGACATATTCATCTTGCACTTCATAAAAAAATTAATGACAAAATTGAGATTGGTTATAATAACAGTAATACCACAAAAGTGAAATGCAATACTTTATTCTGAGCATCCACAAAATAGATCTACTATGCGATAAAAAACAACTTAATCTAATACCTAATATGTACACTTCAATACCCAAATTTTTTCATTACAAAAAAAATAGAAGTACAATAAATGAATTAAATATAGTACTACTATATCAAGACAATCGGAAAGAGGTAAAGTAGCAAAACATTTTTTTGTTAAGACTCTCTTCTAATCAATACAACATTTTATAATAGGTTAATGTATAATAAAATATTAATTAAATAAGAATGAACGAAAATCGCCACATCTGTTGTTTTTATTTTCGTCTATTCTGACCCATTGCCAACATGGTTGCTATCCTGATAAATATGTTTAATGTGTCCAAATAAATAGAAATGGCGCTGCAAAAAATTAACGCACATTTATTAATTAAATTCAATTCAATTTCTTCATCAATCAATAATTGTCACCAATTTGTTAGTTTCTCAATTAATTTATTGAAAATAAATTCGAATCGATATATTTGCAAAACTCTTCAGATTCAGGGAAAATTCGGTGCATTCACTTTTGACCACCTTGTCTCATTGCTAATACATATGCCAATCTTACAAACAGATTCAAAACATCTAGGTAAATGGATATAGCACTGTAAAAATAATTTCAATTAAAAATTCTCAAAAAAAAGTAACAATTTCCCATACAATTTTTTTTTATATTTTAAAAATAATTATAAAATGTCTTAAGAAATTGTGTGTGTGAAATTGAGTGAATTGTGTTACATATGTATACACAAAAAGCCTGTAACATGACGTTAATAACAATGACAAATAACACAAAATTAACTTACCTATTTATGGGATCATAAGGCCTGACCCCATGTAATTCTGGATGTTGAGGATATCTCTCAGCCTGAGCGATAATTCTTTGGGTGTCATATAGCAAGAAAGCAGAAAATAGCAAAAGACCACCATAAAGAGATATTGAATAAAGCCCAGCTCCCAATGCCGTGGTAGGGGGCAAGAAAACTGAGCCCAATGAGCTAAAGAAAACTACACCCAGTCCCATAGCCAGGGGACCTCCCATGTAGAGAAACTTCTCACTGGGAGCACAAACCTAAAATATTTAAGTATAATATATTATATAACAACAAAAACAACAAAAGTAACAAAGTTATGAAGTAAATATAAATACACTTACTGCCACTGTACTGAGCCCACCTACAATCCCTGCAGTATACCAAGCTGCACGAATCAAAATTGGTCCACCTAGGAAACAAATAGGTGCTAACACAGCTCCCATTACTCCAGCATGAAGAAGCCAAGCCATTTGTTTTGCTCCAAGTCCCTCTTGATATTCGATTCCTTGTGCAATCATACCTGTTCCAATAATAGCTGCCAAACTGACAGCCACTCCCTGAAAAGTACAAAGCCATCCAAAGCACTCTTTGACAACTATTTTTTTGCTTAAAAAACAAATAGGAGGTAAACACTCACAATAAACCCATTCCTTGAGACTAAATTCATTATGATTGGAGAACGAAAAGCAGCTACAGCACTTGCGGCTGTAACTGCAATTGAACTTCCGAAATACAAATATGTAGTCTTAATTCGATCTTTAACATACTGGGGCCACAAACTGAAAAATATTCCAGTACAGTACAATCTATACATACAAGAATATTTGTGCTTACTGCGACTGTTCAAAGGCACTTACTCCTTTCCCTAACCCTATACCATAGTAACAAAGAGCCCCAATACCAAGTAAGGAACCCCCCGCGACTGCACCTTTTCCAATGGTAAAAGCTTAAAAGTCATTGTTAATTATTAAACACGTATAAAAATTACACCTTTTAATGTACCAGCTTCTCCTGCTGGTGCCATTGCAGCCTCCTTTAATGTGGCTTTCCGACGAGCTTCCCGAGCCACAGCATCTCGTCCTTCACTACCATAAGTCCTAAGCGCGTCTCGTGCAGGGAACCGTTTAAGTGCTACATTTTGCATTACCGGTGCTCTACATATTCGTGATGCTAACATTAAAGCCATATTGACGTGATGAAAATCTTCTGAAATTCTAGAACAGAAAAAGTTGGGTTATATCACAAGTTTCACAGATATATTATGAACTTGAATTTGTTGCACACTTATTGAGTACTATTTTATACGATTGTCGTTGTATACTTGCGTTTCAAATATTGTGAAACTTGAGAATCGGCTTTATTTATATAAATTTCAATTTATTGTGCAACATCGGCAAAAATAAAACGCTAGATTGGGAAAATCTTAACTATATTATAAAATCAACAGTTACACAATTTAAATATAAAAGTGAAATACTCACACTTAAATTTGAATCGTTTCTTCTATATTAAAAAATGAAACTTTCGTTTAAAGTTCGTTTCAAAATGACAGTGTTGTGGTATATTGTCATGATGATTATTTTGAGACATTATCACAGAATACAAGTACAACTAGTCTGTGGCTATAAGTAAATAATATTCGGTTGCAGTTTATATCAAGGAAGTGGGGATATTTAACGTTTCAAGTTCTGAATAAAATCCAATTCATTAATTATATCAATTTTTGTATTTTTTACATTTACATTTATAATTTTGAAAATGTGGAACTAAATTCGCGCAAATTCTTGCAATTCGGTAGTAGACACATTGCAATATTAACATAAAACGATACACGCCGAAATTACCATCGTGTCTACCGTGCTTTAGATAAAAAAAATATATCTAAGCGGTACAATTCTGTATTGCTCATCAAAAGTGAAACTGAAAAACAAAATTTCTATTGTTTTCAACGTTGAAGTTGTGAAGGCGGGACCGCCATACTAAAATACGTTCCCAAACAAAACACTTCAAAAAGCCAATACTTATTTTATTTACTAATTAAATAATATTTTAATAATTAATTATTTAACTCTCTTCTACGTATCTGTTTTAGTGTATAACCATAAATATGGGAGTATTTGGCATATTAAATTTTCACCTCTTGGTGATCTATATAGAGGGTGTTCAAATAGTGTGTCAAATTAATGTATCTCGTTTATTATTTATTATAAAGAAAAATGTTAAGTACAAAAGTTATTAAAAAATATTAAAAGAAACAATTTAAAATTATTTTCAAATAGATATGCTGGAAACCAAACATGTATTTTTTGAATGGATCACCCTGAATATTGTGGAATTAATTGGTAAAGTCTGTTCATAGATATAAGAAAGTAAATAACTGATACGAATTAAGGAAAGACCCGAGCAAGCTGTAACAATGAAATATGGCCGAACAGGTCCGTACTTTGCTTAGAATTTAATTACTTGGGGTTTTGTTAGGAAATATACTAAACAATATTTATTTATGTATGTATTTATGTTTAAATCTAAAATAAAATTACAAATTATTTTTATTACCTTCTTAAATTACTTAAAATTATTCACATAATATATCAGTATCACTATCGCTATAATCGCCTGTTCTAATTATTATTTGTTCTATATTATTTGCAATAAGGATATACAATTGTTCTGCTTTTTCTATATGTTTAACAGAATTTGCCCAAATTTGTGGAGGGATGTTTTTATAAGTTTGAGGACATTGGAGATAACACGGGGAAAAACATTGTTAGGACGAATGGTAGATTTCGGTTGGTGCCAAATACGTTCAATGGTATTCATGTGAGGTGGAAGCCTTAAAACTGTATGCCCTAGATTTTTTGCTTAATTATCACAGACGTATTCCTTTTGATGGCGCGTTTGTTTTACACTTATCAGTTGAGTCAACCCAACCTTTTTCTGGGATATCATAAGTGCCGAACCAGCTTTCATCCAAGTACATAATTGGCCTTTGTTGTTCTCTGTAAATCCTATTTTTTTTTAGATATTCCAGTCGCCATTTCCGAATTCTTAAAGATTCCATTAAAACTTGCCTTTTGTCATTTTTTTTTTTAATCTAAAACCCACTTCCATAAGGTAGATCTGCCACATTTAACACCGGTTTCATCTTTTTCAAGCCTCCTAATTAAGATATCTAATGTAGGCACGCTTTGTTCCTCGTATAACTCGTAAATTTTACGCCGTATTATATCTTGTGTAGATGAAAGTGATCATCTACACTAGAGAAAATGTCAGCATCGCTTCTTTTTTTCCTCGCTGAAATGGGAATTTTCCATACAGTTGACGTTGGAATTTTCGACAATGTGCTCGTTTCTTCTAAAGATGCTTGTTTGCTGGCACCACGTTCAATGAGAGTCAAATAAGCATTGTTTATAACTTCCTTCGTCTCAATAGAATTGTTTTCTACATTTGGGCGGGAGCACCTCCTGAGATACACTAGACTCGCACATATTTTGCATAATTCGCACACGATTCAACACACTCTGTATTACACACGAAATAAGAATGGTTACTAATAAACTTAAACTAAGTAGTATACCAAACCAAAGAATATTAAACACAGGTAGGTCTAAAATTATTTTCTATTACGGACCACAATTTTACGTGAATTTAAATTCCGAAAATCTAGGTAATAATCTTGTTGCATTGTAAAAGCAAAAGCAAAAGCAATTGGTCACTTTCTTATATCTATGAACAGACCCTAATACCCTATATTTTTCACGCTGTTTCCGACAGCTGTAATTATATTAAGCCATTTATGCTATAAGTGTCTTGAAGTCTTGAATTCGAGAAAAAAACAAAATGGAAGGTCCTGTAGATACTTCCATTAATTACTGCTATCAATTGCCCTGTATATTTGAAAATAATTTTGAAATATTTCTTTTAGTCTTATCTATGACTTTCGTATTTTACATTTTTTTCTAAAACAAATAATAAATGAGATATATTAATTTAACACACTATTTGGAGCCCCTGTATATTAATATCAACTTACCTACGAATATTGCTTATATCCAAAAAAAAAGCGTGCGGGACATATTTTCGCAATGATCCCAATATGAATAGATATTATAAATTACTTGTGAATTTAGGTAGACATATTCCGTACTCCTTAAAAGACGACAAACACCCAGTGATGAAAAGCAATAACCACATTCACTGAGGCGCTTGACATCTACCAAAAAGTAAATAACTACCGAAATTGAAACAAATCTTGGCAAAAAAATGTTGAATATGGCCGACTTATTTCGTTTTTCCAATTTGGTAAACGATTAAGTAATTTCAAGTTAATAGTGTGCGAATAAAAGTACGTATATAAATCCATGTTGACTGCTATTCGCACGGCTTGCCTTCCGTTTTTTTTTTTTTTCTAATTGGTGCGTATGTTTTCATTAAATATGACTCAAATCTAATCTGACTTTATTTTCTATTTATTGAAAAAAAACGTACAAATCCTCCCGTGGGACCATTATCGCCCAATCAGAACGATTGTCTATCGAATGGAGAGGGAACAGCGAACCATTTAGTTACACTCTTGGAAGTGGGGACAGCGACACCCACCAATAAGCGAGCAATAAAACTACAAACAACCCAACCTATATTTTAATACCCAGAGCTTACCGAAATTAAGCGTATCTAAGTATATTGGAAGCGAGTTTTAAAGCTTTTTTCTTCAGAAATAAATAATTATTAAAAAGCCAAATGCTAAAAAAATAATTTAAAATTTAGATCCATAGTTATTGTTTCCCGTGGCACCCACAAACCCAACAATTGCTATACATATACTTTTTAGCAATTGATAACGCCAAAAATAGGTGCTCTATTTTTTTTACATTTTTAATTTTCCAGATTAAATTAAAAATTAAAGATAATACTCAAGGACGCCACTGGAACTAATCAAGTCTGAGTCCCCTCTTTACTACGTAAAACATACCTACTAACCATATCACCAAAGTCGATCTTTACCAACGTCATAGGTTCGCTGAATGTTTTTTTAGTCTCAAAATAATGCACATAAAATCACAATTTCTGGAAGGAGACTGATATCAACGATTGGATGTTTCGATAGAGTCAACGAAATATCCATATCGTCCACCGTCATAGACAACACAATACTTTTAAAAACAGATTTCTTCTTTTAGAAATTTGAGGAATGTTAAATCAGAATGTATTTTTATTTTTTCGCACTCCCGTTATTTGACTAATATATATTATGGTCAATATTCGGCATTAACCACAATCACAACTAACGCCACAAGCCCCCCCCCCCCCCGTACTTATCCACCACACTGTTAAGGGTATACCTTGATGCTCAGTCATATACTTATAGAAATTTTACATCCGGTGAAGTTATTATTGTCGAACACTCTCAACGAATGAAAATCTCTAAATGTACAAACGTTAATTCCCTTAACATTAATGTATACATAAACATAAACTTACAATAGTAAAATTACGTCGAAGACCACCCGAACCAGGCACTGAATCATATACACCCTAAGAGACAACAAATTCCCAGTGATGATCCAGTGCTACATCTACTGATGATATTTGTCGCCTGTCAGAACGTAAAAGCGAGTCGTGTTAATTATTTAAATGACGGTGTTATATGCTTACCCATGATTATGAATTTAGGACCATTCTACTAACCTACTAATTCTTGTCGAATACACATCGATGTCATTCTTCAGTCAGTCTAGCTTTATGATATATTAAAGGCACTCATAAGCCAGATCACCAAAGAGTAACACAAACATATATGGATATCGTGGTTCGCAATGGGCATATTGAGAAGAAATTTCCCTAACAGCTATTTAAGGTAACAAGGGCTGTGATATGAAGCAGTCGATGACATACGCACATCTCTTGTTCCTTAACTGCTGTTAGGAAGATGGCCGTCATCCACTGCAAAAATCGTCAACTATAAGAAGCGTCTTCGTCGACTTTGCAAGGAACCAAGCTCTGCGATACACTTCTTAAGGTTTATATCACAGTAGAATCAGTTCCTTAAAAAGGCGGCGAAGGAACAAAAACTCGCCTATTTTGAAAAATAATAAGAAAACTGCGAGATAATTTTGAGAACTCACAAAAAGGTTGGAAAATTCATGTTTCTGTCTTTCGATATATATAAAATCTAAACTTAAAACACGCCCATTTTGTAAACTTATTCAAAATTAATCACTTTGCAAAGTACCTACTGATAAGTACCTTCAAAGGATCAAGCTTTAACTACTTGCTTGATGATGGTGCGCAAACGAAGTTTTAAATTTTCCACCAACTTTTCGTAAATAACTGATTTTAGCAACAAAAGTTACCACTTTTTTCATATGAAAGTTGTAGGGATAGTAATTTCAATGTTGGAACAACACCTATGATAGATACCTATAGTTTTCTGAGTGTCATGTTATTGAACAAAAACGTAACCAGGATTTAAAAATATAATTCAGCTTCGTTTTGTTTTGTTGCATAACATACCTAAGATAAAAAAAAATTATCAGCACTGTTAATTAACGAACATGCTGAGGAATAAAGAAGTTTACCGTGGTCCGTGACATATTCTGAACAAGACGATA